GAAAGAAAGAAAAAAAGAAAAGAAAAAAATCAGATCAGATCGAAAGAGAGAGAGAGAGAAGAGAGGGAGGGGGGAGGAGGAGAGAGAGCGCGAGCGCGAGCGAGCGAGGGAAGAGAGGAGAAAGAGAGAGAGCAGAGAGCGAGAGGAGAGCGACGTGTAGAGAAACCGAGGGGAGAGAACCCGAGTGTGTGTATGCGTGTGCGTGTGTGAGCGCGAGCGAGCTTGCGAGGGAGAGGAGCGAGAGTGAGAGCGAGAAAGAATAAAAGGAAAGAAGATTTTCTCTATGTATATAAAGATGGCCACGTTAGCAAACGGACAGGCTGACAACGCGAGCCTCAGTACCAACGGGCTCGGCAGCAGCCCTGGCAGCGCCGGGCACATGAACGGATTAAGCCACAGCCCGGGGAACCCGTCGACCATTCCCATGAAGGACCACGATGCCATCAAGCTGTTCATTGGGCAGATCCCCCGCAACCTGGATGAGAAGGACCTCAAACCCCTCTTCGAGGAGTTCGGCAAGATCTACGAGCTTACGGTTCTGAAGGACAGGTTCACAGGCATGCACAAAGGTGAGTGCACCTTTCCCTCCCAACTTTGCCGGGGAGAAGGAGCGGGCGGGCGGGCCGGCCGGCCGGCCGGCGACGAGCGAACGAGCGGGAGACGGCGCGAGAGGGAGCCTCAGGCGGACGCCGAGGAGTGAGGCGCTCGGGCAGCGGAGACCAGGACTGGGGTGCGTGGGGAGCTGCTCGCTGGGGCAAGGCTGGGTTTTGGTCAAGGAGCTAATAGACACGGTGCCGTGGGGGAGAGCAGGGGGAGCAGAAGAAGAGAAAGAGAGAGAGGATCGAGGGAGAACGGGGCTTGGATTTTTTGGTACAGCGACTTGAGAGATTGGGATAGGGACGGCTGCACCGGCCGAGTCCGGGACGCAGAGCAGACTGGCGGGCTCTCCGCCGGCCGGGACCTAGGGTGCTGTCCATCGCCGTGGTGCTGAAAATACTAAGAGGAGACGGTCTTCTCCTCCTCCGCTCCGGGCCAGAGTAGCAGGAGCGCAGCCGTCTAAAAAGAAGAGAGGTGACAAATTCAAAGAGATATTTTTATTTCGCTATTAATTTAGCAGTAAACTCTCCCTGCCGAGCTGTGTGCCTCAGTAATCCGGTTGTGGTGTGTGTGCGGGGGGTGTCGGATGTTTGAAGGAAGGAGGGACAAAACCTAAGGCAAGAATTAACAAGGAATCAGCCATCCCTTGGGTGGAGTGGGGGGGTCAGGGAAGCTTCAATGATCCCCCTCTCAGGAAAAGCAGAGCTTTGGGGAAAATCTGTGTATGAAAGGTATGCATTTTGAAGGGTGTATCCTAAATCATCCCAAACTCACCATGCAGAGAGGTTTATAGTACATTATTTCTTTTCCTTGAAGCAATCATTGCTAGTGAGTGCTTGGAGGAGGGGGAAACAGAATGATCAAAGAATTAAAACCCAGCAACTTTTTAGGAAAGTGGTCATGGGGATTGTCTGCAGCCTGCCTGTTTTCTCCTTGTTTTATTATCTTTAAGGCAGAGCCCCAAACGTGTTCAGTTGTAGAACGTGTGTGGGTGTCTGGTGGGTGACGAAATTAGCCCAGTACTTGCTCTCTAACAGTAATGTATAGGATGTACAGCGGGGATTAATCGGGGCTGGAGCTGTGTGGGCAAGTTAAATGCTTTCTGAGAGAGATTGATTATCAGGCAGAGAAGGAGCACCGGGCTAAGGAAGTTGTAAGGGATGTGTATGGACGTTCCGTTTTTAATAAACAGTAGTGTGGAGAGCCGCTGAAGATGCTGTGTTAGAGCTGGTGGTTTTAAATATGAAAACACACACACGCACACGCACACCCACCCACACACAGAGAGCAGCCTCATCCTTGGCCACAAATGGGCTATGAACAGAGCTGATCCTCCGGCACATTAGGTGCAGAACGCAGAGCTGTCTGGTTCTCTAAGCAGCAGTGTTTTCACTATCACAGCCTCCCTCCGTCTCCAGCCCTCCCTTCATCCGAATACTAAGCAGAGCTCCAAACTCTTCATAGTTGGAGTCCCAGAGAGCAGTTTTTATTGGCTTTAGCATCTTCCAGCTTGCCTGCTGAGGAGTAAATCTTAAAGTTAATGGCATGTTGAGTAGCACAAAAACACAGCAGAATGGAAATATACTGGGTTTGTTGGGGTGGGGTGAGGGTGGGGGCTGTAATGGAGAGAGAAACCAACCTTTATTCAATATGGAGAAAATGTCTGTCTTTTCAGAAGAGAAACTGGAAAGGTGGAATGGGGAGGCAGTCTCCGAAATACTGTTTGTTTTCCTTTTTTTCACCCTCCCTCTCAAGTCAACCATATCTCTGTAGTTTTTCCCTTTCCAATCAAGCTCCCTAGGAGCTAATCAAGATTTTTATCAGACCTTTGTCATTCTAATATGTCCCCAGGTTTTAAAATAGCAGCAATGAAAATAAAAAAGCATAGGTAGGGGAATCCTTTGCCCACCTTAATGATCAGTTCTTGTGGGGATTTGAGATTTTAAAGTTTAAAAAAATCAGAACCCACTAGAGGCAAAAAGACAGTTGTGAAGAGCTGAGCTTTCTATGAGATCTGGGTTGGAGTACTTTATTTGCTTTTTTTATTTCAAATGAAGATAATGTTAAACAATATTCATTGGTTTCTTCTCATGACCCCTTGCTGGTATCATCACTCTGTTTCTGATGTTTTTTGTATTATAGCAAAGAAGTAGCATTATCACCATTTGCATCAGGAAGGTGGAGAAGGTGATGATATAGTTGTATCTTATGTATCATATCCTATGTATCATATCATATATATACACACACATATCTGGTCAGGATTCCTAGGACAAGCAGAACTTCATTTTCTGAAGAATTCATTCCCTAAACTGGCTCAGTCAGGGGCAGGCAGGCCCGTTGGCTTTGGAATGCTGGGTGCCTCGTTGTTGAAGCTCACCCTTCAGAGCCTGAGCATATATTTTTTCTCTGTGAAACTTCCTTCCTCTCTATCCCTCAGATTTTTATAGGCGAGGTTGGGCCACAATGTCCCTAACAGTGCCTGGAAGCTCCAAGAGAGCTGAATAAATGAGACAGTTTCCGAGGTTTGGTTTATTCAGTCCTAGAAGAGTTTGAACTCCTCCTTCAGTGATACAGCCTGATTTATTAGCTAATCCTGATAAAATAAGCCTCCAGCCACCTTAAAAAATTACTCGCTTGCCATTGGTGATTAATTACTGTTAAGTCAAAAAGCATGATGAGGCTTGAAGAATGAGGGTTGCGTTTGGCTTCTTGATTTTCCCCAACTCTAAATTGCAACATGAGGCTAGGGATGGAAACGTGCCTTTGTTAAGCCTAGTTTTAGGGTATATTTGTGGCTTTTTCTTTCCCCTTCTTGAATTTCTAACTTCTAATGAATTATACTGGACACAATTGAGAGATATGACAAGATACTGGCTTCCAGTGTGGATGGAATATGTATGTTATTGGTTAAAAGAAGAAGAAGAAGAAAAATAAAGTAAAAATTTAAGTAAGTGCATAAGAATTCAGGTGGGTATATATTTGTTGGCCACCTTCCATTTCAGGTAACTGATGAAGGAAAGAGTTCTAAGGGTTAATGGCATACCTGTCATGCGTAGAGTGAACCTTAAAAGGCAATTACTCCAGTCAAATTGGGAGTCTGTGGAGGAGGGAGTGGGTGGGTGCTGTGGAGCAAACCCAGCCGTATCAGAGAAAGACCTGGGTTGGGGAGGCAGCAAATAGCAGTTGTAAACTGGGGTAATTACTGTAAAGGTAAATTCACACCCTGGAGACCAAAAAGCAAATGGGCAGGGGGAGAACTAGGTGCCAGACAGAGAAAGCAGTGAAAAAAGGAAAAAAAAAAAAAAAGACCAGAACAATTTTAAGAAACAATACCTTAGGAAGAAAACCCAGTTTAATGCAAACTCTCCTGGCTAACTCAGTCTCCTTTTCTCCCCCGTTACAAGCACTTGGAGAAAGATTGTTTTTTCAAGCTCCAAAGAGAAAAACACTGTGCTATTGATTAAAGAAGAGAGAGGCAAACTCCCCGGGTAGCAACAGAAGTGAGGTGAGGAGTAATTTTGCCCCTTTCTATAGAATTTTTCTCCCCTGGAGAAGGAACCAGGTCACCTACTAGTCTAATTCTTCTTCCATCTCACTTTTTATTTATTTCTCTTTTATTCTTCAAATTTTCTAGAGAACAGAGGCAGTGACTGAAAATGCATACACACATGCACAGAGTCATGCCTGCTAACACACATACACATACACAGTTGGTGGCTCACACATGAACAAGCCGCAATCCATTCATAACTTTGGTCTTGTCTAGCAGGGTAGGATGCAGCAAAGACTGAGTTACTGGGAGACATAAAGACTAGGGCTCTCTGGATAGCCATATTATAATGCATTATGTTGGAAGTCATTTAAGTCCAATTTAAGTGGTATTTAGTGTAATATTTATGAATTAATGTAATCTAAACATAAGGCTGTCCCCAAAGGTTTAAACAGCCTTTACTACTGATGTGTGCTTGTTCCCGGAGCCTGCGATGCATTTTAATCTAAACAGCCAAGTCCACATCACAGTCCCTCTTGTTAACCAGTCAGAACAGACCTGTGGCCTGAGTAACCTCTGTGCATTGAGATTTTCCTCTGCTGCGTGGAGGAAAATCTCCACTGGCAGCCCTGAGGTGCTCCCAACCCGGAAGCCACAGCTGCAGGGACTTCAGCCCCTCATACTTTCATACTACACCCAGAGGGAGGGTGGGACAGAGTAATGGAACCTTCTGTGCACTGAGCTCCGGCTAGTGCATCAATTTAAAACATACTCATCCCCTGATGCACAACCTCTCATTTCAATGGCATCTAAGTAGGAAATTCCTCAAGCCACCTTGATTTGGGGTGCAGCTGGGAGAAAGGGAAAGGGCAAGGGTTATGATTATGTTTTGGTGATTTGGAATCATCTTCATAAAATAATGTCTCGTATTTTTGTGTAAGCGTAACAATTAGAACATCGAGTTTTCACCACTTGACTTCAGCTGAGAGAGCTTGCTGTGTTGTGTTTTGTTTTCTTTTCCCCCTCAGATAGGTGAATTAAAGCTAGTGAGGTTCTATCTGATTTCTGTTTTCAAATGAGTCTAAGAGACAGTGAGACTGAAGTACCAGCGTGGGCATTCGCTCAATTAAGATGAACTTAAAAAAAAATTACTTGGAAAAATAAAAATTCAGCTCTGTCCAGGGAAAGACACTGGCAGAATGGCTGGACACACACCTACAGCAGCTTTTAAAAGAGAGATTTGCTTTGTGAGAAAGAGATATGGAAAATGAGATAGCTCTAATAAGGAAAGAAGAAAAACATTTAAAATGTAAGTTTCCCTAGAGAAAATTAGCGATGGCAATCATTGCAAAGTTAAAATGATCCTGAACAACAGCCCCCATTTTAAAAACCTCCAAATTCCAGATGTTGATAAGTATTCTATATAGGAGCAGAGAAAAAACTATTGAGGAATGATTAGTTTATTTATTAGTTTATTTA